CACCGCCCACAATTGATGCGTGTTGATTATCTTACACCGAAAGTCAACTAGACATCAACGCAAACATCACAGCTACCTCATGGCTCAATCAACCGGCATTACTAATGTTCACCGGAGCCAGAGGGGTCAGTAGCCAGTCGCTGATCCACAAATCGTCGTAGTATTATTTGACGCAGATATACGTTGCGTTAGCTATCTTGATTGCGCGCGACCGTTTTAATAATAAGAAACGCAATCAGTGTGCGATTTGTTTTCTTAAGCAACATATTGACTGGCGCTGTGTTGCGGCAATATTGCTTGCATCACGATATTTGTACGGGTGCCATCGCTCTGCAAAATCGACAACCACATTAACTAACATGCAACAACAACAATAAATAATAATAATAATAACAAGAACAACAGCAACAAAAAACAAATATACGCTTGATATACTTGCGTGTGCTTATATTATATTTGTTTGCGTTTTTGTTGTTGTTACAACAACACGTGCCCATTAATGACGTATGAATGATGTAACACGCGATTGGCACGTGTCGCTCGATTTACCACCAGCTTCCACCACCAACTATTGCTCATTTCTTCAGTAACTTAACTTATTCTTGGCTTATAAACTTCTTGTTGTTATTATGATTTTAGCAACGCCCGCTCCTTCATCGGTGTTTTTTAGTATTTTTTTTATTTATTTATTTTTTTTTTTGTGCTCTTTTGCAGAATATATGTTTTTATTGTTGCATTTTTTGTTGTACTTATATTTATGTAGGTACTTTGGTCACACAATGTGGTGTGACCATGCCCTGCTGCTGTGCATAAAACAAACTTCGTTGCGGATCAAAATGCAATAATGCGAATTTGTTGAGTGGCAGCTACTTATTTCCGCCATTAATGTGTTACGCAGTTATTCTTTCATTTTTGGCTATAGCTCATGGCTAAATACTTTTGCTGCTCATGCCGAGTGGTTCTGTATTTGTTATTACAAGTTTGTATACATATGTATATATTGAGAAATATAGTAGAGACATACTCGTGCTATATGTATATAGCGTTGTAATTCATAACCAAATTTGGAATTCTTCTCTATATAAATTTTAACATGCTTAATAAAAAAAATAAAATATTTCTCAAATTTGTTATTGTTTTTTGTTGAAGCCCTTGATAACTTTTTTCTCTCTTACAGAATTGTTTCCTCTCTTAATACTTGGTGACTACTTGAATACAGTGAGATTAACTTTTGAAGGAGGTCTTCCTCTTCCTCTGCTTCAATCGGCGGGTACTGAATCGAAAACCTTCAAAGCTGGGGTGTTCTCTTCCATCCGCAGCCGCTGTCTCTTCATTCGCTGAGCTATGTCGTGTCGCCATAAAGCTCGTACCTCTCACCGTTCTATCAACTGTTGTTGAGGCCAGCATCCGATGATATCTTGCAAAGAAACTGATATTTCCACCTTGTCTTCGCCGCCGTAATTACTTACGAGCCTTATCAAAGGCGGGCAATGGAAAATCTTTTCCATCGTCATCGTTTGGGGAATCAGGTTCACCATCTCCAGATGTTACACTTTCACTGTCGTTCAGCAGGTTGAAGAAGTGTTCCTTCCATCACTTCAGTATGATTTGAACATAGAGCTGGTGATCACCACTTTGGTTGAAGGACCCATGTCGCTCCAATCTTGAAACCTTCAGTTAGTCGCCGCATCTTTTCGTAGAGTTATCGAGCATTGTTCCCGTCCGCCAGCTTGTCAAGCTCTTCATACTCAGAGATTTTGGTCTCTCTTTTTGTCTGCATATGAGTCTCTCCTTCCTCTTCAACGCTCAGTATCTATCCCACCCGGCCCTTGTTGTCTTCGATCACAACATTGCGAAGTAGGCTGTCTGCTTTCTCTCCACTGCGGCACGACTAACCTCTTCCTACCAGCAGTTCTCTTATACCGCTTTAATGATGAATGCTCTCAGAGAGCAAAAATGCAAATTGAGTAAAAAAATCGTTTCGCTTTTCGACGTTGCACCTTCGCTGTTTAACGGGCGTGGTGCATCTTGTAGTTGTTGTTAGGTCCTCGAAGCTCAGGAAGGATAACAAAGGCAAAATACATGATCCGCCGATAATAAACCACTACAAAAACCAATCTCTATCAAATCCAGGGAACCCTTTTATGTAATAATAAATAAACACATGAAAGATACTTTAGCTTTAGTGCAGCCGAAACCTTGTTTGTAGAACTTTTTAAATACACATAAAAATTCAAAAAAAAGAAAAAACCATTTCTTGCAAAATTATTATTATTTTTTTTTTCAAACTCTTCAACTTCAACAAACTACATATGATCGAGGTACAACACAAATGTCTTCTAGTAGAAAGAGAACAGCCTGCGATAAAAACAATATCGCAATATCCTTTTCGTTCGGAAAAAATTACCAACTTCGAGTTATTTTCTGTGTAAGACTAAAGTGAAGCATTACAATTCAATTCAGCATATGATTCCCTTTTAGCATTATTTATATCAAAATCAAATCTGAGCTCGAAAAACAAATATGACATTCACAACCTTTTTCAATAAAATATATCAGAGCTCAAGAAAAATAGCAAATTTTTGAGGAAAACAAAATTTGAAATACGAGTACAACAACAAATTAACTTTCCTAATATAACGGGTTATTTGACTGATTACACCGCGACGTTAGGTCTATTGTGCTCACATAGCCCCTATATATTGATAAAGTCCAATATACTGCCAGCGAAGCGATGCGATTCCTATTTGGAAACATGAATCCAGGGGTATTTAACCGGCGTCTGCAGACTGCTATGCAGTGAATTAGGAGATGTTCTAGTTTTTCAAGCTCCCTGTCGTGGAAGCGATAATTTACACTTAAAGCTAGACCCATGTTCTTCAGCTTGCAGTGGTCAGTGTAGAATGCATAGGGAGGTTGATTACATATTTAAATCTCTACTGAGGTTGTAATCCCCAATTAGCAACTTGGCTCGGGTTACAATACACGAAAATACCCAAAAATAAGCTTCCCATAGAAAAATTTAGAAAAAGTCTTTGAGAATTTCCCACACTAAATAATTATCTAACTGTAGCACCGTGGACCCTCGCAACAACATGTTACATGTCTCTGTAAACAAATTATAAAACCTAAACGACCTTCAACATATTGTCACTGTCCATTTACTAGTGCGACTGAACAATGCAACCGATAATTGCTCAATTGGTTGACACAAAAGGCGCCGATGCACCCTTTTGACCCTCAATAATTGTAGCCCGACTGAAAAACAACAGTACTCTTGTTTGATCATATTAAAAAATGTCAATGTGGCATTGCTGACTTCTTTGTGAAATTTATTAGTGGCACAGTAACTTTCACACACTCTCGAACAGAGTACCCGAAAAAATGCGTGACACATCATCTAGTAAAACTGATAATCACATATTGTGGCACCGCTAAGTCAAACCCACCCCAACACTTAACCAGAAATGACAACAAATAGCAAACAAACAATTAACATTGCAACCAGAACGAGGAAACGGTAACGCAATGAGTTCAGGTTGACAGCAGCGTACGGTGTCTACTATCTGTTGACTGGTGGCTGGTGGCTGGTGACTGTCATGTGTCCACGCAGCGAGCTATTGCAGGGGTGTCGGCGCTACCAGTTGAGTTCACGTGTCAAACGCTATAAATTACTGCGGTTACAACTCGCCGTAGACGACTGAGTAACTCGATACACAGGCCACATTTGCTATATATAGTATAGATATGAGCGTGCGTATATATGTGCGCACATAGGCAAATTGTCGACAGGCCTTGGCCACTGTCAATTGCGCAGATTGACTTTGTCATTTCGACGACCACATACACATCCATATCTTAGGTGGTAGTTATGTGTGCGCAAAGTTCCCAATAAGAACGTGCACGATTTTTATATTACCTGCCACTTGCGTGCCATCCCTTCAGTAGAGCGCAATATGCTTCCCACGCGCTAAATAAACTACACATTCATATATAAAACCGAAAAATCGCCTGTCATCTCTATTTAGTTAACGAAAATGTATTATTGGGTCGTGATGTCTTCATTAGCACATAACCACAATCATCTATAGATTTTAGATGCGTTTGCCGAATATAAAACTTTGAAGACAGCGGTAATATGTATTGATGGCGTCATTGGAAATTCCATGAAATAAATGAAGAAACCGCGTAAAGTATTTCTTCTAAGGAGTTTAAACGCAATGATAAGAAAGGAAGAAAAAAAGGTTAATGTCGGCTGCAAGGAACTATAATAACTGTCTCAGTTGCAATTTGACATAAGAGGGGTAGAAAAAGATCTTTATATTGATTTTGACCTGTCTGCTGGAATAGATCCGAAAAACCAGTTGGGAAATAGTGGCGACGCTTGGCCAATAGATGACTTATAAGTCCTTATCTTGCGTTGTAAAGTGCGATCGGATTATGCTATGTTTATAGGATTAGAAAATCTTATCGATTTTGTGCAGAAAAAAATTAAAGTCCCACGCCATCCGGACCTGGCAGCAAACGATTACTATCTGTTCTTCTTTATGGAGAATTTTTTTGCTGTTTCACTTTTTTGCTAATATGGACGAGAGTTCTAAGCAAATTTAGTATTCATAATTCATTCATAAAGTATAATTTTTAAACTCTTTCACCATCATACCACAGCGTCTAGTATTTTCCCAATTCAACATTTGAACATCAGCTATTGAAAGTGAGTGACCTCAACGAAAATTGCCACAATTTCACTTTGTCAGGCCAATAGCCATAAATTAAACTATCGACACTAGAACATTTAGCAATACACTTTGACTTAGACTTACGGCGCTCACTCACTCTTCACTCGCACTTTGTCGAGACAAAATCGCATAGACACATAAATCGCATTGACAAGTAAATTGCGCGCAAATGGTCAACCAATATTTATTGGTCACTTCAAGTAGAGGAAAAATGCCGCCACGCCGGGTTGAGGGTCGGGAGATGTGAAAATGGCCACAAATCTAATGCAAACGTTTCGAAATGGCAATGCGATTTGTGCGCGTTGACTGTTGCGCGCGTCGGCAATGCGGTTTCTCAGCCGGAGACGTTTCGACAGCGTTACCTCCGGTTGGAAGTTCCGTTTCCGTTTTGAGGTAAACTGTGTTTGTATGTTAGAGAAACGCGCAATTATATACGTGTATTTATGTGCATAAATATACAAATTCATATGCGAAATACATACAAAATTGCACATATCCAGGTTTGATGAGCGTGCTTTCCTGATGCTTTTTGGAATGAATTGCCCATGTAAATTTACGATCACATCGACTTTATATGAAGACACCATAAATTTTTAAATATCTACGATATTTTTGATCAATATCGTTACCTGCTGAACGAATTCTCAGCAATTTAATAATAATTTCACACTTCGACATTCTGAATATTTTTTGTCATGACACGCCTGCCACTCCATAACAATTTTTGCTCCCAATTTCATTTACTGTAACACCACACCCATCTACGTAATTTAATTTCCGGCTGCTCAACGAAATATTCAGGCACAAATTACTTTCCCCTCCCCTTTCTTATGGTGGCCCGAAACAACAGTGAGCGCTCAGCAGTCAGCATAGCGATTCGCAATTTAATTTTGTAACATAAGCATTTGGATTTTAATAAACTTCATGGCAGAAACGGCATTGCACAGAACATTTAGCTGATAATCATCAGCCTGAATAATCGACATAATCTTCGGCGTCGTCAGCAGTAGAGGCATAAGCGCTGACACCAAGGCGAACAGACGATTTGAACTTGGCTCAGCCACCAGCTGCTCTTACAAAAACAACTCACTGAAGTCCAATTCTAAACTGCAAGTGCAAACAAATTCATATACTATATACATAGAGTATACACATACATATGTATGTTCATGATTTTATCGTTTGTGTATACCCAGTAGGGAGAGCCGTAATTTAGGCAGGCAGATATTTAATTGATCTTAAATACGAATATTCTTTGTTATTATATTGAAAAATTATTGCTAGAAATTTGTTGAAATCCACTTTTTTATAAGTATACATATCTGCAAAACATATCTCAACCATAATAGACAAAAGCTGTCTACGATTCACCATTTTTGAATGCGGTTTAACAGCAACAACAAAGATAGCGAGTGAAATTCGATTGTAAAAAGTATACACAATCTTCAATGCTAATAAGTTTTGGCTTAAAATACAAGTAAGTGTAAAAATTTAATAAAATTTAGCGGCTGGCTCAAGTTTGCAAGCAAGTTTATAGCTTGTTCGATTCTTCATTCTCCAATGCTTAACGAAAGGCACTGAAATTTAACGCTCCTTACTTTCAATTGTTAAGCTTGGTGCTAAGTCCAACTACCCAGAGGTTGAATCATAAAGAAATATAACAACAAAAAACTTTATACCAAGTAATGCTGCATGTAAATGCGATATAATTGCGCACATTCAACTCTTGGTTGTTTTTCCTGCAGGGCTTTTGTTCATACATAACATAGGACAGCATGAAATTATCTAACAGCATGCGACGAGTGGTGCGAATTTCATCTTCAAATATGTCCAGATTTGATTTCTGAAAAGTTGTCTCGACTGTAAAAGGAAATATATTTTACAAAAATAAAACGTTCAATTTTATATTCGCAACATATTTAGTACCATTTCAGAATATTGACAAAAGATGTTTAAGCATATGTGTATATAAATTATCAAAATGTAATTTCAAATTTGAGAGAACGAAAGAACTAAGTGACTGTCCGTATTAAGGAGGTCGAAACCTGACCGAAACTAAGTCTATATACCAAAAATTGTTATCCCTTTGCGAGCAATGTAAAGCGCCCCAATGGTAAGGCTCAATTATCGATACAAAAACACTTCAACTTTCTGTTGTGATTTCATGTAAGATCCTGAAGTTGACGAGTAATAGCAAGAGTATTTTAAATCTTACACGGTACTTTTATAGAATAAGGTAAACTATGGTCATTTAGAACTTTTACCAGCTACATGCCGAAGTAGTCCCCTAAACAAATTTTTTCCATAAATCAGTGATTACATGTCGGTGGCAGTTTTAGAAGTTGGTAGATTTTAATGAAACAGGACCACCAATGAAAATAAATAAGCCACGTAGTAAAGCCACGTAGTTAAAGATGTATTAAATTTGTTTTACATATGTTGTATGTAAGCACCAATCAATAATTCAAAAAATCAAATAATTCATTTATAAATTTTTGGTTCAAATAAATATAATGTTTTTCGGACTAGTTTAATTTTATTCCAAAAATTCTAGTTAGAAACTAGTACAAATAAGACCAGTTTGCAGCCTCACAGCTGGGTATTTCGTACCTTTAGTAGAGAGTATTGCAGCATTAACTTTGGAAAGCCGCTTACCCACGGTGTCCTTATTGGCACCGCGTGTTTCGCTAAATTTCGAATTTAATTCACGAAATGGAAGAGTCGCCTTTTTGGCAAGCACGTTCCTAAATGGAGATGAGCAGTAGCAACGTTTCTTTTTTAATATTATGCAATTTTCTATGCTGTGCGTTCTACAATAGGTACTAAAATTTTATGAAATGAAATTCGGTGCCAAGTTTCTCATGTCATATTTCGCGCACTGACGCGCTTAGCTTGTTGGCACGTCTGTCGACGGCTTGTCAGAGATGCAAATGTAAAAATATTTGAATTTTTTCAACTAGAATTCTGTACGAGTCATCTTTAATTGCAGGCGACTTAATTTACATGTGGAAATGAAAATAAAATTTGGGAAGCTTTACGAAAGTTGAAGGAGCATAGCGCTACACGTCTCTGCCAGCAGAAGGATACACAACACAATTTAACCCACCTTCTCAGAGGGACAGCACTCATTGTGAGACTAAAGAAGTAAATCGTACGAGGGACTTCCAAAACGATTCTAATCAGGAAGTTCTATAGATTGATCAATTGTAATTTAGTCTCAAAGATTTACATTGATTTTTTCATAAATTGGGTCATTTATAGGGGGCCAAATGAAGTATAAACGCGGGCTAAGGTGGTTTACAATAACTGTTTAATCTCCGAGAATTTATTTAATTTCATATTTTTATATATAAATAACAAAATTTTATTATGAAAAAATTGCCCACATTTGTTACAAAAACTAAATCTGACATTCCTCCTCCTATCAGAAGGCATAAACCCTCGAAATCTTTTTAATACCAATTATTCCCCCACTCAGTTCCAAAGTTCATGATTTGTATTGAACCCCAATTGACCTCTATAGCTTATAGTAAAACTTTCTTCGCCATGCAATTAAAATTTCCATAACAAAGGCATTAGGAAAGAGCTTACTAAAAATTATGTTTTCATAGTTCGCACCGCCAACTTTTCTCACATTTCGCGTTAAAAATTAATGGGCTTCTAACCTTACACATGTAGTTCCGCTCCTACTACCTCCGATAATAAAAGACACAGCATGCGAGAAGCTCGAGCTCTTTATGCCGATATAGTATATGTGTGTGGCTGTGTATGGGTGCGAGTCCTTTCGTATGAATTTTTATTATATGTGTAAATATTTTTATGCATGGCCTTTTTCGCAGTTCACTTCACTTGCGACCATTAACCACTTTTCGCTCTCCGCCCTAGGAGAAACCGACGTTTGACTTTTTCCAAAGTCATTATCATCCCTTGGGACCTTTTTGCTTTTGGCTTTATAACTCGTTTGCTTTCATGAGTTGGTGATTTGGTGCTTGACGGTGCGTGTTACCGCTGCAGGTCGAACGGTGGTGAGCGACAATGATAAGCATGCCCATATGGGCATTTGTGTGTTAGAAGCAATGTGTGTCCGAGATTGCACGCGAATTGCCATCATAAATCATGTCATGTTGATGTTGTCAATAATGTAATTGTTGTTGTTTTCATTTTTACTCCGATTGTACTTAGTTTTTGTTGGTATTAATGCTGATCGAAACAATATGGAAAATGTTCTACTATATAATAGCGCTAAAATTATATTTTGGATAGTGAGCGCATTCGTGAAATGGTCAAAAGAACTGGGAAACTTTCGATTTGGAACATTTTATTCTTTCCTTTCCGAAACTGGCAAATTTCTTAGTATTTTACAAATAATGAATTTCTTAACACTCTGAAAGGATTTTTTCGCACTCCTAAAATAGTTACTTCGAATAAGCGACATCCACAGACGGATATATTCCATCAAGACCTTGAAAAATAAGTATTTCCGTAAAGTATCTCAAGCAGCCCCCAATATTTGATAATTTATATATCGTTCTTTACATGCAAAAATGTAATAATAGAAATTTTAAGAGTACAACTAATATAAAGCTAACTTGTAAGAATACATTTAAGAACTTTTTTCAGTACCATTAAAAGAACAAGCTTGGGACTCCATTCTCACTCAGGCCTAAGCTGGTAACTTGTTACTTAGAACTGAGAGAATGTTAGAAATGTAGAAAGCTATTTAAGGAACTTTGCTAGATTATGGGCGAAGGACGCAAATGCATTCTTAACAAACTGAACGCGATATCTAGCATAAAAATATAGCGGAATAACTGGAGTGTTGATAGAAGGTCTATTATAATTTGAGATATACAGAAAGATTTTCGAAGCATTGCCCAGAGCAATGCAATATTTACGACGGGAACAGGAAGTATATGCGAACAATTTCAAACTGATCCTTCCTAAAAAATAATAAAATTACTAAATATTGGGAATAGTAGAATAGAACTGCAACCAAAAGAACAGTGCAATGAATTAAAACTGGCTCAGTAATCATTCGATGAATAATATACCACATGCATGCCAAAACACTGATGCCAGCCGATTTTTTTGTCCTTACACGCTTGAGAAAAGTTTCATAATATTCAGTCCACTAGGCTGACTATCGATTGGATTCGGTTGATTTCACTGGTGTACAGCCCAAATTCAACATTATGTTTCCCCCAAATAATAATGCTTTATTAACGCATGAAATCTTTTGATTTATTTTTTTGTAAACTAACACAAGTTTCCTCACCTTCTCATTAACTAATTGTAGCTATAATCTTAAAATTAGTAGTCATATAGATGGTATTAGTAGTACTATCTATGTACGTAACAGCCACAGTAAAATGTTGACGGGTTCTCTCGTAGAATATAG